CATATATAATCATGATGGAGGTGCTGGTGTAACTATAACTATATGATATAATGATATCATATAATGATTTGATTGTTTTTTAAATCACTTTCCTTTTCTTAGTCTATCCTTCATTGGTAAGATACTGTGGGACAGGTAGGTGTACACACACACAGTAAACAAACTCTTTCTGACAGAGCAGAAAAGCATCCACAGCAGCGTAATCTCGAGCCCCCTGATGCAACATTCCAAATACAAAAACACTCCATCCACAGCTTCTCCCAAACTATTTACAAAGAGCCTCTCAGAGGTGGGACCAAGTCATTGTTTTGCAAGTCTCAAGTAAGTCTCAAGTCTTTATCCCCAAGTCACAAGTCAAGTCTCAAGTAATGTCAGGCAAGAAAGAGTCGAGTCTCAAGTCACTGGTGTAAAAGTCTGAGTAAAGTCACAAGTCTGAAACTTTGAATTTCAAGTCCTTTCGAGTCTTACAAAAAACAAAAACAAAAAAAAAAGCATGTTGCAGTTATATACTAAATGTAAATATTAGACCATGTGATTTTTAAATCTGTGTTTTTCTCAACACATGACAAAATAGTGAACTTAGAAAATATACACAAATTGTGAAATTGCACCTCTATAAAATGCAGCTCAATTAAACTTAGCTCCAAGAATAATTTTCAACGACAGTTCTGAGATAAGCTGCATGTTATTCTTGGATGCGCTTGTAGGACCGGCTTTAAAATCGCATGACAAAAATATCATACACATTAAAAAAAACTATCACCAACGTAGTCTGGACAAGATTTGCTAGTTAGATGAAGTCAGCTATCTCATCGTAGCAAAAGAGAAGGACCACCTCCTGTTCTTTATGCAACTTCAACTGTCGGACAAAGTTGGAAGTTGTTCCATCTCTGCCTGTGATTCTCTTCTTGCATGTTTTGCATATTGCGTTTCGGTTTTTTCTTGACTGCTTCATAATTTATGTACCTGAAAAAAATAACTCCTTGCAACATTTTTGAGGGGGTTTTTTTTCTTTTCTTTTTAAAAAAAAATCTGGTTAATTTGATTGGCTGTGCTACAGCTCACGCAGACATACGTACAGAGTGTGGTTTGAATAAATGAATTTAATTAATGGTGCACACTTTCTATATAATATGTGTGTTAAATTTTATATTTGGGGTGAAATATCAAGTCTCTTCAAGTAAACCGGTTCAAGTCCAATCCAAGTACCAGGTCATTGGTGTAAAAGTCCAAGTCAAGTGACAAGTCTTAGAACATTTTAGTCCAAGTCAAGTCTAAAGTCATAAAATTAATGACTCGAGTCTGACTCGAGTCCAAGTCATGTGACTCGAGTCCACACCTCTGGAGCCTCTGACCTCTCTCCTTTACAAAAAGGAAAGCACAGGTAGGTAGCCTCCACACAAGAACCCTGTCTTAACTTCTGAGTCAGAGTTACACTCGCTGTTTGTCATACAGTGATCCAGCACCAACTGAAGTCCTGATGCCGCACAAAGATGAGAACAACAGAATACACTGGTAATGCAAAGAAAGCCTGACTTTGTGGAACTCACTTTATAGTTTACCCCTCAGGTCAGCAGCATATGTTTAAGTTCAGCATTAAAAAGAGCTAAATACAGTGGAAAAAACTGGGGTTTTTTTTTTTTTTTCTCCAGTGTTCCTTCCAACCAGGTTTGAAGTCAGTGAAAGCAGCTGTCTGCTCCACAGGAGACAAACACAAAACACAGACACAAACGAAGCTGAGTGAAAAAAAACACCTGAACCACAAACTGACCTTCATGAAAATATTACAAACCAAGCTCTGAGCACACTCACATAAAAGGTGGTGTTTCATTTGACTTCTTCAGGAACCGGTGACAGAGATCAATAAAGCAGACGTGGAAATCAATTTGGTTCATCACCAGATCAAATTTATTGACTGAACATCTTAAATGATGAATGTCCTACAAACTGATCAGTGTTCTGTTAGCTGTAATTAAACAGTGTAAAATATACTTTAGGACCAAACATCACAAAAATGATGTGAATGTACCCGCATTAAAGTGACAATGCGATGCACAGTAACTTCACAGCTGGGCTTCATCTGGTGGTTCTACTAAGTTACAGTTTGACATACGTTAAAAACTCCTTCAGCAAAGACTCTCACGCTGAAAACAGACTTTAAATGTATGAAAGAAAGCAATGAAAATGTGGAGCTTCTAGCTGATTTTAAACTGTATTTATTTTAAACCAGGTGTTCCAGCTGGTTTGTCATGTATAGACATGAGGTTTTCAGATCTTTCAGGTTGAAGCTGTTCTATGGAGTACAGTAACCTGGATTCCTGACCTAACGGTTTATTTGTTTGTTTTTGTTTTGTTTTTTTATATTTTGAATCATATTGCAAAACAAGCTAACTATACAAATTTTATTATACCAACTGTATACAGTCTTGTATGAAGACAATACATGTCTTTATACTATATATAAAGGTGTAGACTGCAATAAGTGTGGCTCTTGGGGAATTCCCATGATGCATTGAATATTTCTTCTTCAGTCACCTTCCTCACTCAACATGTGTTAACAGACCTCTCTGCACGGAATCATACTTGTTATTAATCTCTGCCTCTCTTCCTCAGCATGTCTTTTATCCTTTCTTCCTTTTTTCATCCCTACCGGTTGCCAAAAATGGCCGCTCCTTCCTGAGTCTGGTTCTCCTGGAGGTTTCTTCCTGTTAAAAGGGAGTTTTTCCTTCCCACTGTTGCCAAAGATTTAAGCCCTATGGGAGTGACCAGGAGGGTCATGGACCCTGTATTGATCCTAAAGGATAATGGTCACTCCTTCGAGGATGCCAGTGTTCACATTTTGGACAGAGAAGACAGATGGTTTAAAAGAAGAGCGAAAGAAGACATCTATGTTCCCTGTGTGACCCCCTGTGAACAGAGGGGGTGGCTTACGTCCAGATGATTTCTTTCCATGCTTCTATGACAACAGATCTTAGTGTTCCCCCACTTGGGGAATCTCACTTTAACCCCCGTGTTGGGCTCTCCTTAGCTTTTTTCTAGGTAGGTGGTGCGATTGCCCCTGGGGTGGTCCTCCTTGGGCCCTTCTAAATACTAGCATGTTCACGCACAGAGGTGTGCAAACAGGTGTGCACACGGGTGCCTCTAAACATATTGTGTGTTGTTGATCTTGTGTGCTGCTCAGTACTGTTACTTATGCTTATTTAGGTTGTTGCTGTGGTTTTCTTGAACTTCTCATCTATGTCTTTCCCTTTCCTATCCCCCGGTCATGTCTGTTCCAATTGTAACAACTTAAAAGTAAATGAGTAATTAAATAAAGAAGTAATAAAGATCAATCAGGTGGATCAGTATGGCAAAGTCGCAATGATCCACTTGGGAAAATAAATCTGTTGGACATTCTTGGCCTTAAGACAATAATTGCGATTGCTACAGTGCCGGACAGGACAGGCAGAAAAAGAAAAAAAGAGAGTGGTAGAATAGTTATATTTCCACAACCCTCTATGCATAATCACATACTGTGTATGCAACCATTGCATATAGCGTATTATCTTACTTATAAAAAGAGAGATAAAGAGATAAAAGTGGCTTTATTTCCAAATGGTTTTCAATTTTAAAAGCTGCTCTCCACAATATGGCTGAAGAATCCAATAGAGATTGACAGACCACGTGACTTTCGCGCATTGCATGCCGGGAACTCGTGGCAAAACAATCCAAGTACCGCATCAAACGCAAGCATTTGCAGCACCGCAAAACGTTCATTCTCTGGTTCCAATACCTTCTTGCTTTTTCTTTGTCCCCCAAAAAAGTTATGTACAAAACAAAAGGAGAACAATGCCGGTCCGTACAAAGACAGAATTGATGAAAAGTCAAAGAAAAGATACGAGGAAAAAATCAAACCAGTGAAAGGTTTAGACCCTTACGAGCACACAGAGGGACAAAATACGTTAGCGTGCTGCCCAACTTTCACCACGCTCATATTTATAATCATACGGTTCTTGGAGTGAGTGCACACACTCATGAAGTTTAGTAACTTCAGGTCACTGCAACAAGCCCAGGTACAGTTTATCGACAGACGGGTACAGGACCTTGAAATGCACCGTGTAGAACGAAAGACCATCGTACGAACAAAGGTAAGTTTACCAGTCTCACAAATTATCTTCATAAATACACATTCATTAACCGTTTATTAATATAACCTTTGAGCTCAACGGTAATTAATTAGTAGTGGAAATAATTTCTGGTTCGCATTACAGAAATGTAGCAGTGACAATAATATTGTATGCTGTAATCGTACTGGGCAATTAGTGATACAAAACAACTGTTTTATCCTGTGAATAAAAGTATATGTTTTTGTCAATGTACCAGGGTAATAACAGAAGTGAAACACAATATTGTGTCACGACAATTCACTATTTATGCACAATAAACAAAGGAGCATAGCGCGACAATTTCTGTTCAGCGCCAGACTTGCTTGTAACCTATATCACCAATTATGTTATGAAAAATGACGCATTAACTACAACAGAAGACTGACCTTTGTGGGAATGCTTGGAGCAGGTTAACACAACGAGGAACGAAGCATTGCGCCATATTGAACACAGGAGAGTTTGGGCCCGGAAGCAGGGTTCATACGTCATCACTTAAAGACCGTATTAGAGCATAACTAAGAGAGGATTCAGGGTCACCTAGACCAGCCCAAACTACCATATTTGTTTGGACATGTGTGGAAAAAGACCAAGTATCGTTTCTGTTCCAACAGAGTTATTAAGAGAAACACATTTGGTTTTGCTCCACAGATTAAAATTAAATAGAAAACCACACAATAAAATAGAAATGAAACCAACAGAATAACAGAGGTATGTTAGATGCGTCAGAGCAGGTGTGACAGTTTCTGTCGATGTGGGTGTGTACCTATATGTTGTTTTAATAGGTATATAAAAATCTACAGACACAGAGGCAAAACCACAATAACCACGGCTCGCCTTCATACTCTTCAAGGAATCATGGGGATTTCAAAGTTACAGAGAATGATAGATGATTTGTGTCTCTGTGAAGAGGTTAAAGTAGAAAAAACAGGTCTCATCATTGATGGTGCAGCTCTTTATTATTGTTTGTATTATAACTCTGATCCAAAGCTGGACCAGCGCTGTGGAGGAGATTATCCTGGATTTAAAGATGATGTCTGTAAGTTCTTTGAAGCTTTGCAGGACTGTGAAATCACTCCATACGTCATCTTGGATGGAGCTGCAGGATCAGAGAAGCAGAAAAGTCTTCATTCGCGTCTAAAGCATAGACTAGAAAATGCAAAGACAATAGCAAAGAGTGAGCCTGACGCTGTGCCAAAAGGATGTAACGTCTTACCACCTCTGGTCAAAGATGTCTTCATAGAAATCTTGAAGGAGAAAGACATAGAGTTTAAACAGTGTTTAGGAGAGGCTGACCCTGAAGTTTTTTCTGCTGCAAATCAGAAACAATGTGCTGTGCTGTCCCATGACGCAGATTTCTGCATCTATGATGTGCACAAAGGTTTCCTTCATCTTGACAACTTTGAATGGAAAAGAAAGAAGGATGGCAAAATTCCTGCTAAGCTCTACACAGGTTCAAAGTTTTGTGAGCATTTTAAATTAGACCCTGCTCTCATGCCAGTCTTTGCTTCAATAGCAGGAAATGATTATTCAATATTAGAAGATAGGGGTAGGTTTGCAAATGAATCATCTTCATCTGGTGAGAACAGCATTAAAAGACTGGATGGTATACTCAGGTTTCTAAGTAAAGTGAATCTGGATGGTTTGAATGACTCACAGAAGAGAGAACGTGCTCTGAGTCAAGCTTTAAATCATGTTGGTAAAGAAGAAAACCAAACTTTCAAACTCTCCATTCAAAAATATGTTGAACCAGAAAAAACAAGTTCTGAGTTGCCATCATGGGTGTGTAAAAAAGTTGAGCGTGGAGAACTCACCACTTTTGTCATAAGTGTTGTGGATCAGAAGACTATGATGCTGCCTGCTCTTGTGGAGGACTTTTCACAGCACAGTAGTTACACAACTGCTTACCCCATCAGACAGTACTTCTATGGACTGTTAACTGGAGGTCAGATGTGCACTGAATATGACAGGGATAGAGAAGAGATCAAAGACAAACGTGTCCCATCCATAGGGAAACAACTGCAACTAGAGCATCTGCATAAGGTACTGAGGTTAATCATGAAATATGTGTTTAATTACTCTGACAGGTCATAGATGTGTTTCTGTGGTACACGTGAGCATCTTGTCTGTGTGGTACCTCTCTGTGCAGGCTCCTGAGGGTTTGCGTCGCAGAGTGTTTGAAGAAGCTCTGCAGGTTCAGACTTCAGCCTTAGAAAACATCCCCGACCAGCTGAAGCTGCCAGTCTGTGTGACTGTTTTCTGGTTCAAGAGGCTACAACACCACCCAAAACCTGAAACTGTCCACTGCCTCCACGCCCTCCTGCTGGGGTTTGTGTGTGATCGTGATGGTCCAGGTAAGTCTCTGAGCTCACTGAGCAACATGACTGATATTTTACTAGCAAATACATGGAAATATGTGTAAATCAGTATTTTCACTCATTACTTTATTAGTAACACTTGTGATACGCCTGCTATTGTTTTCACTCCTAATTAGTGTTGTTGTTTATTTTGTTCTCTTTGTGTCTGTCATTGAAGTGGACTAATTATTAGGAACATCTAAATGTGATTCAGCCCAAAAAGCATCAAAAATAATATAAAAGTGTGAAATAAGGTGAGGTGCATGTTTCAGTTTAAGTGGTCCCAATATGACCTCGATGATGTAAGAGAGATAAGACTTTATTGATCCCGTGGTGGGGAAATTTGTGCATTACCTCAGCTCAGGTACGGATAGCAGAAGAAAAATTAAAAAAAATACAAATAAAATATAAACAAATACAAAATAAGTAAGATAATACGCTATATGCAATGGTTGCATACACAGTATGTGATTATGGATGGAGGGTTGTGGAAATATGCAAGTAACTATTCTACCACTACTATTACTATGTAAGTAATAATATTATTGAATGAGGAGGAAAATACATTATATTTATACATTATATTTATACATTATATTTATACATTATATTTCATAGATTTTGCTAATAAAGTAGACATCTACATGACATCATAACCTGAGCAGAGTTAGATTAGGCTTAGTTTGTCTCTCAGACTGGAGAGATGGTTTTAGAGACAGCTGAATGAAGGTCACAGGTCTGCAAGCATCACACTGTTTTCAAGCCAATATGTCCCACTGCTGATTGAAAGAAAAAAAAGGAAATCAGCGTTCATTATTCTGCTGTAACTCTGTGAAACATAGTTTATTAGCTGTATTTCTTATAAATTGGCATTTTGTTACAGTTTCACAAAGACAGTTAAGTCTGAACATTTAAATTTTACAGTTATCTACATAATTACATTCTTTATGGTTAAGGAAGTGGGTCCACATAGACTATTTATACAGAGGATATTTCCCTGCATGTTACAGCAGGTTATAGTCTCTTTGAAAGCAGTCAGCAGATGGACTGTAGTCAGAGTTCCTGATGCTTCCACATCAGCCTGAACAAGAAGACAAACTGCTGCTGGTCTCTGGTTCTGTGTCACTGAAACTTTGTCTTATCTTGTCTTTAGAGGACGAGTTTGAGAGGAAGATGAAAACTTTAAAGGATGCAGCTATCAGGAGGAAATGGCAGCCCCGTGTGGCTCATGCTTTCAGCCAATGGCTGTGCTGCATGAGGCAGAGCCTCCACCTGAACCAGCTGCTGTGTTCCCCTCTACCAGAACCTCAGTGTGCCCGGTAAACACCAGACCAATGATGCGCTCCACAGATGCTTAACACACTTCATCAACTTTAACTGAGATTTTCTGCTTTGTCAGGCTTTACTGTGGACCTCTCCTTCATCGGCTGGCAGATGAAGAGACGTTTGAAAAACTACTGAAAACACTGAGAGGAGAAAAGAAGAAATTATATCAGGATTTAAAGACCATTTTTCATCTACTCGCACGGAAAAAAACTCTGGTTATCGGCGACTGTGTTCTTGAAGATGTGGACCCAGAGATTCCAGCAACTACACTCACATACAGATCAGGGGCCACAGCAGGCGACATTGAGGCTAAACTGAAACTCCTGGCTCAGGATGAACATAGATTTGATAAAATTGTAATTCATGTCAGCAATAACGACATCCAGAATCATCAACTGGAGGTCATAAAACCTAAAATTGAGTCGGTGTGTAACTTTGCAAAAACGATGTCGGATTCTGTAGGTTTCTCTGGTCCCCTCCCCAGTCGAACCAATGCTCACATCATTAGAAGCCTGTCATCGTTTAACTGCTGGCTGTCTAACTGGTGTCCAGAAAACAATGTGGGCTTCATAAATAACTGGAAAATGTTTGGGTTAAAACCTGGTCTCATTGAGAGCAACCACATCTATCCAACTCGCGAGGGTGCAGATCTCATTTCTAGAAACCTGGCCAAGTTTATTCTGAGTTAAAAACAGAAAGCTGAGGTGTTTTCAGTGTTACTATATTAGATAGTCTGACTCACCTGGTGACGTTCTCAGTCTAATGCACATTTTAAAGAAACAGCAGATGTTTTCTATTCAACACAAATGCTCTTTGACAATGAAAGTTAAGAATACAGAGAAATGCAGTGACGCAGGTTTGGGAGCGACGGCTTCCTCACCTCCTCCCTGCTTTTGTCTTTTGGATAAACATGATGACATTTTAAAAACTGAAAGTAATGCATGAATAAAACTTGACCCTACCTCTAAATTAAATACATTAAGTAGAAAAGAAAAAGTAAACCAGTGAAATATAGAAGCAGGCTATCGGTTTGGTTTGTTTTATAACTGAACTGAATGAAAGTGGGCTGACGAAGAGGAGTCTTTGAGCAGCCGGAAGCTGAAGAAAGCAGGACGATGTGTCTAACAAGCAGCAGCTGAGAGAGGAAGCGGAGGAACACATCAATGTTTTATCAGAGTCTGTCTATTATTTGTTCTTTGCTGTAACAAGAGACCGAGGTGGACATGTTTAGCAGGTATTGTCTAACAACACATGATTAGCACAGGAAGTTATTTCACTGCAGTTTTATTTATATAGCCCCAAATCACAACAGTCGGCTCAAGGAGCTTATTTTAAGATAAAGAAAATGCTTTAATGCTCACGAAAGGATGAAGATATTTAATGTGTTTGTTATAACAGCTTAATTATCATTTGTGCCTGCAGTGTGACCATGCAGTGGTCCACAAATCTGGAATAATTTTCAAATCACTTCAAAAACATTAACATCTTTCTCTTCAAATGCAACACAACAGTTGCAACAAAATCTTTTAAATATAATTGTATATTTTATTATATAATGCAAATTATGAATACTTTAAAATATGTCTGATTTTGAAAGAATTTTTCTTGTGATAGAGTACTATTATTTCTGTCTACATATGTTGGATTATATATACTGAATTTTTATCATTATTGTGTTGTTCTGGATCATTTAGTGATTTAGCTTGGTGTTATAGTTTACATATTTAAAAATGTAGATTTATTTTTCTGTATATTATCTCAAGTTTTGGGCCAAATAACTATCTTATACGTTATGATCTTGAAATTCGTATTTCATTTGTGAATAAACGGAAACTGTTTCTCAGAGACTTTTCCTTCAGTTTTTGAATTTATTGTCAGGCTTTTGCTCGTATGTCGCAGCACTCAGCAAATTACTTTTGAATAAAGTTACACAGATCAATAACGAGTTTGTTCCTGTTCCATGTGAACTATCCAGATAAAGCTGTAGGTTAAGAATAAAGCATTGGTGATGTTTTCCTCTCATCTCCTTAGTCCTGTTTGGAAATAAAGAGAATCTCAGACAGATGCTTATTTTCACCCCAGTTAAAGTCTCTGTATTAAAAGTCAATCCACATGTTTTCTCTGTATTACTGTAAAGTCTTTACACTTTAATATAAAGCGCTTTTAGGAAACTTATATAAATATAATCGAACTGAACTAAGGGCTCTACAGGGAAATGTTTTACCTTACTGTAAACAGCTTCACCTTGTGGAAGAACACAGTTATTACAACCAGTAACGCTGCAGTCTCCACCGGTCAGGTTATTATCTGCAGCTGAAAACATTGAAGCAGACTTTAGAAAGTACTCCTGCTATCTGTGACACGTACAGGATCCTCTGTGATGGTTTTTCTCACGTCTCAAATGTCTGTCCTCCACCTCTGAGCAAGAAACCATTATCATGCTGAGGGAGATCTCTGCTCCTGACATAAGGAGAGAAGAGGCTGCAGGAGTTTTTACCTTCACAGTGCTGTGACACAGATGCAGTCACGTTTTTAAAACTTTCAAAATGAGTCAGAAAAGTTTGAAATTTCTTCTATGAAACTTAAAAGGCTGAATTTCAAAATAATCCAAATTAATCCATTTAAAAATGTTTCAAAAAGAAGAAAAATGTCAAATTAACATTGATTTATTTCACATTTAAACATTTACAGACACCGTTACACCTTACACCAGCTTAAACAGACACTTATTTTGAAAAGCCAGGCTCATCTCATCCAAGTATCGCTTTAGAGACCAATCGATCAGAAATAATTTAGTCTAAATCTACACTGAACTTTTTTCAATTTTTTTTACAACTTTATACAAAAACATCTGTTTACATGTTTGTTTGTATAGCAGTAGTGGGCGACCAATCAGCTGTCAGAGCTGAACAAAAACACAGGAAGTGATGCTCAGTTTACGTGAAGGAAAACAACTGCCACCACTGTTTGTCCAAACATAAGCAGGAAGTGACATCATTGGGGAGGAGGTGACACAATCTGGTGATTCTTAGTGGTTGCTAGGTAACAGGACTCAAGTGCTGATGTCGTCACACGAGCAGGTCTTTTTCGTCTCATTTACAAGATGAGAAATGTCCTGTTGTCATGACAACAGTCTCTGTAGTAACAACCTAGCTGGCCTTGGCATCCAGCAGCAGCACCCTCATCAGCGTCCTGGCGGCGGCCAGCAGCGCTCCGTGCAAAGCATACTGGGCTACCAGCACGCCAAAACCTCGGTAGAAGCCAGCCCCGCCTTCCTTGCGGCTGATGGCGTGCAGGCAGTCAGAGAAGCCATCATACTGCGTGTTTACGGGCACTACCAGCGGGCTCCCGCCATTTCCCACCGCAACCACTCCATCGGTGGCATCAATGATGGTGCGCGTACCCTGCAGAGCCAGGCGATGTAGCACCGTCTCAAGAGGAAACAACACCACGTCAGCTACCAGAGAACCTGCCCAAGATGCCGCCAGCTCAGGGAAGTAGGCATCCAGTGGATTGGATGGTTCTGCCCGCTGCTTCTTGCTACGCTGGTGCAGCCACAGCACCACCCGCTGGATGGAGGTAGCCACGGCATAGCGCAGGATGGCATGCAGCGCAGCGGGAAGCAGCAGGCATCTGAGAGGAAGCAGGCGACGACTGTGAGGTGCGCCGACACCCAGCAGTCGAGCAACACCCTCACGGACGCAGTCCAGCAGGCCAGAGGACGACTCATCCCGCACAATCTCGCTCTGAAGATGGAGAGAGGAACACAGGTCCGATCAAATGATCAATTTAAAAAAAACAAAAAAAAAAAAACAAAACACAACAACAACAACAACAAA